AAATAGAAGGTAATAATAATTACGTCGCTGGCTCTTGCTAATTCACCCTCGTAGATCAAGAAGTCTAACGATCCAGTGTAATAACTCTGTTCAGGTTGATTGCAAGTTCTACCACTGATATGAGGTCTACAGCGACACTGACCAGTTACCACGTCGCAAGAATTCTCGTAGGAACCACCAAGATCACAATCGCACGGCTTGCAGCCATCTGGATCTTTCGAAAGGCCCCAATATTCCGGCAGACATTGGTTACAATCGCGTGCAGTAACAAAACGCTTGCAAGTACACCCGCCAGTAACCATATTGCATCCTCGATTGTCAATGGTACCCAAAGTGTTGCAGGTACAAGCTGAATAGAAAATAATGACCAAAGGTTATTGATGATTTATTTTATAAAAAGAAAAAAAATGTGCAATGAAAACTAGTAATATTTCACTCTTTTAAATTTATAGAAATGCAAATTGTGATTTATTTGATAAATAAAATAAAATAATTCTGGTTAACACCTTGACATCCTTCAGGATTATTTGGATCGAAGTTCCAGTAGCCATTCTTGCAACGATTGCAAGCACGACCTTCCACGTTTGCTTTACAATGGCAACGACCAGACTCGTCTCCGCTAAGAAGATCCGTTCTTGAGTCGCATATGCCATCATCCAACGAGCCACCGTTATCACAATTGCAAGCTACGAAAACCAAAAAAACATTAAAAACCATATATTACGAAGTATATTATTACATTCAAGAAGAAACACCTAATTCTGTCTAAACCCATTTAAAAGTTAAAACAATGAAAAAAGTCCAACAAACTTTTGACAACTTCGTCAACTCAAAGTTGCCATCTTTTTCCAATTGGTCCATAAATAGAGAAAAAAATCATCCAAAATAATCTCCGTTATTTTGAATATCAAAAATTACGTTTGATTTTTTGCATAAATAAGCATTGAAGTTTGTAGGGGAAAAAAGATACCAAATTAATTTATATATCTAAATAATTCAAGCTCTTCATCAGATCACAAAACCCAAAAAGAAATCATCCTAACTTTAAGACAAAATCTACTCACGCAGACACGCTTCCGGATGAGATATATCTTTGGTGACGTCATGATAATAGAATGATTTGCACTGTTCACAGTTTTGCCCCACGGTGTTGTGCTGACAATCGTCACAGACACCACCAGACACTCTTCCGGATCTCTCGTAAACAGTTTCGTCGAAGTGACATGAGGATGTATGATTATTACAATTGCAAGATCTACAAGCGTTCGTTTGCTTTCCAACGGCTGGTTTCCACGGTAGATCATTGTAGAAGTCTTGACATTTTTGACAGTTCAATCCTGTTGTGTTATGGGTACACTCGCATCTACCATCAACCATGTTCTCCTCGTGAGCGACGCCAGGAAGCGGAAGACACTTGGACGCGTGGCCGTAGCATGAACAAGATCCACGAATCACCATATTCTGAATGGCGTAGTAATATTTCTCGCGAATTTCAGCGCGATCATCGAGAAGATCGTCTCCCAACGTGTGCAGCCTAGTCATGTTTATGCGAAGGTTGGTGATTTTCAATAGATTTTGCACTTCTTTCGAGTAGGGGTTGTCTATTTCCAAGTTCCGTGGCAACACTCTAAAAAAAGCAAAAAGAGTAAGTATTTACATAATTTTAGTTAAAATTATTATTAGGTATATCATATAGAATTTTTCAAAATTGTAAAGAGAAGCTGTTGGAAGGTTCAATTTCATTCCAATTCAAAAGAACATAATCTACAGCCTGACTCATCGCTTGTTTTCTACAACTTTCTCGCGGATCATTGTAACCTTAACATGAGTCATCAACCCCTCTAACCTTAGACCATAAATTATATATAGAAAACCAATTAGTATTTTAGCTAGTCTCTATATAACCAGAGAACCTTGATCTTATATTAAAATATTTTATCTTCCAAGTAGTGTCTTTTGGCATATAAAATCCCTAATCTA